GTAGGTCTCATAAAATATGTGAATAAAATTAATTGTTGACTTTGACTTTCAAACATGATCTAAAAGAATTAAGAAACTAATATCATCTTCTTCTCCCCATATCGTCCACCTACAACTGTAAACACCACCTAGGGGTGCGCCTTTCGTGCTCGAGGTGAGATAGTTGGCTCACTACGAGCTCATCAACTCGTGAGCTATACGGGGGTGAAAATGTAACTTTTAACAAAAAAACAAAAAAACTTGACGAGCCACTGGCTAGCTTTATGATGAGTCGAGCCAACCCACCAACGGATGAACCAAGTGACCAGAGGCAGACCCAAGAAGAAAGTTTAGTGTGGACAAAACCAAAAAACCTTGGAAAAAAAAAATCTGAAAACCTAAAAAAACCTGGACAAAAAAACTAAAAAAATCTGAAAATTTAAACAAAAATCGAGAAATCTGAAAATTGAGTGGGGATGACGGCCCCCACTTGTCCTCAAGTAGGTCCGCCCCTGCAAGGGACACGACCCATTTAACACCTACCACCACACCATTGCCACTCCCATATCCCACCACACACCACACTATCGCCGCCTATCGCCACCAATACCAAAACCAAGGGGATAGCTCCCTAATGATTTGCTGTTAAAAAATGGCAACAAGTTTTGGAATATTAAATAAGCATGAATGAAGATATTAGTCCAAAAACACGTTGTATCTTTATATAGATAAAAAATAAGAGAGAAAGTATTTAGTATTTTTAATATAAATACGACTATGATCCTTTGCTTGGACAATACATTTTAAAAGCATTGAAATCTTGAACTTATAGTTAAATTTAATAATTAATTTTCTCCAAAAATGATGAGGAAAAATTAAGAAATGTTTATAGAAAAAATAAAATTAATAGTCAAAAGAGTAAGCATTGTTGAAATATATAAAAAAATCTACTTTCTAAATTTTACGAAATTCTCTATTATATATAAGATACTATTATATTAATAGATATAAACAATTATGGATGCAAAACTTGGTTACTAAGTTGCTTCGAGTCCAAACAACTTGTGAATAAATTCCTCGAGTGAAATCTACTATTACTTGATAGACATGCAAATAAATCACCAAAACTCGTGTCAAACCCAAGTTTGGTGGCCATAATTTCTTTAAAAGTGAGCTTTTGTATTAGTGAATTGTTTGAGAATTTTGGAATCTATGTGCAAAATATTTTATTTTGATAATGTGTAATTGAAAATGAATTTGATAAAAAAAAAAAGAGTTTTGAAATAGTGAAAATCGAATTGGCCTAAGAAACAATGTGGTTTGACAGGGATTAATGAATTTACTTAAATACATTATTTAAGCAACATTTTAAAATTGATAGTTTCGAAAAACTGATTTTAACTAACATTATTCTAGAATATCAATTTAAGTTGTCAGACTTGATAAGTTTAATTGAATAAATTAGAGTTAATACCCTAAATAGTTATCGAACTTTGTCAAAAGTTTCCAGAGGTCACCGAACTTTAAAATTTTTCTAATTAGTCACTGAACTTTGCAAAAAATTCCTAGGATGTCACTGAATTTCCAAACTACTCTAAATAGTCACTAAACTTTGCTAAAATTTCTTAGGAGGTCATCGAACTTTGCAAATTGTTACCCCATACATCAATGATTTAGTGATCCCTATAAATTTTTTGCAAAGTTGAGTGACTAATTAGAGTAGTTTTGGAAAAGTTCAGTGACTATTTAGGGTAGTTTCGAAGTTCAGTGACCTCTTAAAAACTTTTTGCGATGACTATTTAGGGTAGTTTTGAAATTCGGTGACCTCCTAGAAAATTTTTACGAAGTTCAGTGATTAATTAGGAAAGTTTTAAATAATTAGGGAAGTTCTAAAATTCAATGACCTCCTGGGAACTTTTAGCAAAGTTTAGTGACTATTTAGAGTATTAACCCAATAAATTACCATTTAGCCCATGTTTGGTATACATTTTTTCAAAACTCATTTTCAACCACATATTTTTCAATAAAATAATATTTTCAGTCATATCAATAATTTTTCCTTACTTTTTAACCACTCATTTCCCATCATATCACTATTTAAAAAATATTTTTCTTCAATAATATACGTAATGTCATGTAGTTATCATCTAAATTGATGTTTGACACCAATTATGCCGAATAATATTACTCTTTCAGCTTTAGAAAACTTGTACGTTCGAATATTGACCATTAATTATTTGATTCATGTTATATGTACAACATTTGTTGACAACGTTGATTGACAAAATCTTATTTGATATTATCATATGCATCTATTTATAAACATATTTACTACATCACATACTTGGATTTTAACAATACATGATTGCCAACTATTGTTGTCAACTAATGTTGTACACTTAACTTTATCATAACTATTTAGCCCATATTTAGTGGCCTTTAATTTAAAAGAACTATATAGTTTTGAATATTACTTTTTTGGAGAACGTGAGAAAAGTTTAAAACATACGTGTAAAATATTTTATTGTGTAAATGTACGATTAAAATTGAATATAAAAAATAAATTAAAGCAAAATAACAAGAATCAAACTACGGAATCTAATTCACAATTGATGTGATAGATGATAAGTGCATTTTGTGCTCTTATTTGAGTCATATTACTTGGATTTCACGTCGTCAAATTATTAATTTTTACTTAACTTGGTTTAATTTTCTTTTGTTTTAGTTATGGACTCATTCGAAGCAATTGGAAAAGAAAGAATGTTGAAATTGAATGAAATCTACAATTTCGGGGATTAAAATCTACACTATAGTGATTGAAGGACTAAACTGCATTAATTCTAAAGATGGATGACTTGGAGAAACACAAAGTTAATGGGCTGGACTTGCAATTGGACTTGGACTTCAATTAGCACTTGAAATCCTAATTATACTACAACTAATTGGCAGCTAATGA